AACTGACAACAGTTATACAATACCCTGTTTTTTTCCCCTGCTCTGCTGGCCATGCCCACTCCTCCCTCTGCTCACAGCTCTTCACATCCATCTCAGATTTTTTTTTTTTTTAATTCTGAGGTAGAATTAAACCGAAAGAGGGAGGGTTTTATGGTCTTTTAAATTTAAGTACCAATTGGATATACTGAATATACATTTGATATATTTGACAATTCTAACCCAAACATACAAATAAATCAAACAATTAAAATTCTGAAAAAATTGCTATTTGTAAAAACGATTGAATGACACAGGAATATTTACAGAACTACTGAATCATATTTAATACTTAAAAAAAAATAAAAGGCTTTTTTGATATTGACAGCTTCAAGTATCTTCTAGTATGGACAGTGGAGTTGCACACATTGCTCAGGTCTGATTGTTTCCCTTTAGACTTCAACAAAGTGTAAAAATCTTAATGGTTCTGTGAGTTTTGTCTATCAACTGTTGTTTTTAGTTCTTATTTTCTATTGGATGCAAGTCAGGTAATTGGCTGGGCCATTCTACAGCTTTATTTTCTTTTCTGAAACCAATTGAGAGTTTTCTTGGCTGTGTTTGGGATCTGCTGCAATGTCCACATTGGTTTCATCTTCATCATTTAGTAATGTATGGACTGAATCAGCTAAGTTTAATTTACATAGACGAGGTGCAAGGTTACTTAAAAACTGCTGACAGATTTCAGCTGTTGTTTGGGCTTCCCATGCCTTTTTACATTTCCCTTTCGTCATGTGTTCAATACATTTTCCCTGCGTCATTTTATTTAGTTATACACAACTTGTAAAGGAATTAGTTACTGTTTAGTTTTGTTTTCTTTGCATGAATGGATTTTGTTGGCTGTTAATGAAATCCTTTAGAAGGTCATTTAGAAATATGTTTTCTGAGTAAAAATGTGTCGTGTTCAATATTTTTTTAACTGCTGTAGCTAAGACATGTTACAAACACACTATCAAGGTTACTACATGCTAATTTCCTGTGACTTGGTCAGAATAAAATGTAATTTTTTCCCATTTCTTTCTTTCTTTCTTTCTTTCTTTATTTTTTAATATCTTTCATTTTACATTTTAACTTTGAATAAAGCTGTTTCTAACATTCTGGTAGGGCTTTCCCAAGCCAACATTGAAAGTTCAAACCAATAACGTTATTATCTCTTGAAATGTACTTGCTGATAATATAATAGTAATACATTTCAGCACCACTTTAATCATACTTAGATTTAAAGAGTACACTTCTACTGCTTGTAGGAATGTCAAATTTTATGTTTTACTTTTAGATAATGTTTTAATAGAGATTAAGTATATTTATGGCATATTTTTATTTAATTTATTTTAACCTGCACGTGTGAAGTACTTCATTTTATTTTATTTATAAATACTTGCAAATGCATACTTGTAAGTATCTTTGCCATAAACACTTGTAAGCATACAGTGATATCGTAAATTCCGAAATAACATGAAAATGTGCTTAAGAGGAAATGCTAAAAAGGTTTCAGTAGTTAATTAATCAGGCTCATCCGGGTTGCAAACCATCTTAATTGTTGATTTAAATTGCAGTTAGTTGCGCTTGCAGTAAGTGTCTAAACTATTATTTTTGCATAATATATTTTTATGTATGATAAAAGTGTACTCTTTTTTTACAAGACGTCACAGAATTGTGTCTAAATAAACTAAATGAAGTAAAATAAAATAAAAATTTGAACACTAATAACATTCATACAGTGGATTTTATCAGGCCTAAGGGACAGCTGTTCATGTTAAAATGCAGATGGAGAACTGTTTGCTGGAGACTTTGTGTGTGTCTGAATGGAAAGAGCCACTAGAGGCTATTTCATTTTAGTCTGTGCAGCTTCAGTGTTTGACTGTAGAGTGAACTCCAATAGAGATAGCCAAGCTCCCATCGGCAGTGTCTTTTCCAGATTCACCGAGGGCCTGATTTAATCATGTCACGTTTAGACAGCTACATCCGGACAATTAGAAGCTGGAATTAAATTTGCATGATTGTATTGGACTGTGGATTTCTTTCCACAGCTTTTGCTTGCCTTCCACAGCTTGAAGATATACTATAAAAGAAAAACTCCACGATGATGTTATGAAGACTTTCAGAAAAAGAAAAACATTAGTGTGAGACTGATGATGACAGCCAGAGGAGAGAATAACATCAAATTGACTGTCCTGTCCCATAGACGCTGCATTCATTAGAAACACCTCGCATAAGCAGAAATTCATTTTTTTTTTTGTAATTTGAAGCAAAGATAATATAATGCATACATAAATACATGATTGTTTATAAGTTTTAAAAAAATCAAAAAATGTTTGTGGCAAATTGGATTTTTCATTTCAGGACCCCTTTTTGAGTCCAGCAGTTTAAATGCAGAGTTTCTGCAATTAACTAAATTGTTAACAGTTCACCCTTGAAGATTTATTATTGAATCAGTGTATATTATCTCTGTTATTTCTTTGAAATATTACATCAGGGGAATGCCCAAGGAGCTAGTCATTCATCTTTCTGTTTTTTTTTTTGTTTGTTTTTTTTAATTACTGAATGTCAAAAGCTGTCCTTGCATCATTCACATGATTCCTGTAAAGCACAAAACTTGCATGACCTTGCATAAGTTGCTTGGAATATTGAGTTCTGATTGGCCTAATGCCCTTATTCATAGTTAGTAAATTGTGATGCACAGGAGAACATATATAACATATATATTAAGGCTGTGAGTTAAAATGTGTTAATAAGAAGAGTTGCTTTTGCAAACCACACTAGGCCAATTAACTGTTAAATTGGCTTCAGTCAATTTCCTAAAAACATGTGTTAACTGATGGACGTGTTCTTGCCACGTTGTTGAAAGAACAACGATGTCATCTAGATAGACCTCACATCCTGGCACTCCCCCTAACACAAAGTTAACTAACCGCTGAAATGTCGCGGGCGCATTGCGTACTCCAAAAGGCATTACTGTATACTGTAAGAAGGCATCAGGTGTAACAAATACCGAGATTTCCTTTGTACGTTGCGTTAATGACACCTGCCAATAACCTTTAAGAAGGTCTAACTTTGTCAGAAATATATGGTCAATGTACCCATCTGATAATTCACAATACAACTGCCATTCATAAACGCAGCAATTAATTTTGCAATGAATTAGCCATGCATAGGGTTGTAACAATATACCGGTATGACGGTCTACCACGATTTGAACGTGCACGATTATCATACCATGAACAATTGCATATCAACGGTTTTAACCCTTAAAGACTGAGACAGCCGCCCGCGGCTAAAAATAAGTATTGCTCTTAAATGTTTAATAACTTTTGATCCGCTGATCCGATTCATACAATTCAAAGATTGGCATAAAGAAGAGAATCTCAGCTTTCCAGTGCTGTATCACATAACATTCGCGGCTCCGGAGGCTCCGGAGGCTCCGGAATCAGTGCGGTTACGTCATCAAAATTTGACAACGCTGATTTGACAAAGAAACGCTCGTCACTGTGTCTCCGGACAAACCAGACACGATACATTGATGCATTGTCCCTCCTCCATGCCCAGATTGGTTCAAACTCGCTATATCACAACCAATAAGCATAGGTTTCGCTTTTGTTTGTGGACCAAAAACGAGCTTTTTGAACAACACGGAATGAGAGATAGGCATACATTTATGCGCGGCTAAATAAAACGCAAAAAAAATAAGTTTTGCATGAAATAATTCTCATACTATGTACTTTTGCATGCACAGCAGCACAGAAACATGACAAAACAGTGACACAGCAAAGACGAACTGCTGCTCTTGCTGTTTTCAAAAGATGCAAATGAAGCATTGCAGACAACCACATTCAAATCCATATCCATAGACAACCATATCCATGCTGGCACATAAAACCTAAGGATGTTCCATATTGAATCTAGTTTCGTTATGTAACTATTTATAGTATAGTAAATATTTATATCTATTTTTTTACTGAGGATTTGCACCATGTTTATTTGGACTTTATTTGGACTTTGACACATTATTTATTATTTTCTTATTTTTTTATTTGTAAGTGGTGTTGTTTATAGTCACTGAAAATATATTATTTGGAAAAAGTCAAATTTGCTTCACTGTTCTATTATTTTGTAACATTTGTAACATACCGTATACCGTGAAACCGTCAAACCGTGGTATTGTTTTAGACGATTATCATACCGTAAAAAATTCATACCGTTACAACCCTAGCCATGCATAAATGACTCAGTGACTTAAATGACTCATTGTACATTTACCGCCACCAACAGTTTTAGTTTCTTATTGAAGTACTATATTCCTGTCCCATCTTATCTATGCTGTAAAAAATATGTTAATTAACAGGTTCCGGATTTCATGATTTACTGTTTATTTACGGTTATTAATTGCATTATGGGATGTTGATCTCTGCTTTGTTGACTTTTGATAATGAAACAACCTTGCAATTTATAAAAGTGACACAATATATTGTATAAGAAAAAATATAGAGAGAAATAAGTCTGTAATGTAGCAGAAAAATCTGCAATATATCACATCAAACTTTTACAAATTTCAATTAAAGTCACTTTTTCAAACATTAAATGTTGTTGTAGGAAAGATCACTCTCACATTGCATAATAAATAAAGCATAAACAATAATAATAATAATTCATTCATTTTCCTTTGGCTTAGTTCCTTTATTCATAAGGGGTCGCCACAGTGGAAAGAACTTGATCCAGCTTAAAACCTGTGAAAGTTGTGAATCTCAGACACTGATCAGTTTACATTGAAAGACATATTTAACTTCATGATCAAATTCCCTCGTGTGTGAGTGTTGAGTTACTTTATGGACTGTACAGACTCTATTCTGTGGAATGGTGTTAATCTTACAGTCATGACATGTGATCCAGCAGCATGATAAAGGCATCATATAAGAGACCCATAAAACCCTCACTGACCTTTGCACATACCATGTGTTTATGCCACACAGAGACGAGTGTGGTCATCCAGACCATGTGAATGTTTCGGAGAAGCTCAAGAAGCAGGCCGTCCCTCAGACCAACCACATCAACAGCTACGTGATTCCCAAACCGGAGGTCATCCAAAGTGACGGGCTACCGGAGGACAAACGGGAGGGGTTTGTTGGAGAGGTGGAGATCCAGGTTACTCCTAGAGAGATGGAGCAGGCCAGGGGTAAATCTCCAGCCAGCAGGGTAGTGGAGGTGGAGGTTTTAGCTCCAGGGTCGACACCACCCTCCCGGGTTGCCTCTCGAGCTCCTTCCAGGGCCGTCTCCACCCCGCCAGTGGTGCAGAGGAACGGGACACCCATAGAGCAGAACGGCATGCCTGGATGTCAGAGAGGGGCTACACCTTCTGCTCAAACGCCAGTTCAGGTGCAAAGGAGGAGTACACTGGAGCAGGTGGAGAACTGGGTGAAAGTACAGAAGGAGGAACGCCACGGGTGAGTCTGCAGACGCATATGGATGTGAACATACATCTGTCACACACATTTTATTAAGATTGGATCAAAGCTCCTCAGGAAAGTGCATGCCAAGGGCAAGATTTGGCCACCCCTGTGCTTGATGTTATGCAGAAGAGTCTTGGGTTATATCTCCACCTAGTGGTTGAGTTCATAAGAAGTCATTGTCACCTCACCTTTAATTCAAACTCATTTTACTTGAATAATGTGCCACAAATGTACACAAACTAGACACATGTACAGACTTCAACAAAATTGTTGCTACCCTTTAATTGTTCAAGGCCAGTTTCACTAGTAATCCTTCTCTTGAACCACAATTTAAAAGCAATATGTGATTTTCATTCATTTCTTTTTTAGAATTTTTGAGTAATCGTTATTCTTTCAGTTTCAAGTTATTTCAGTGACCAATTTTCTTTTTTCATTTCTTTTGGTTTGTGAAAACTGATCAATTGGCAGGAAGAAAATAGGTAAACATTAAACATGATGTTTATTAAAATATATCTACACTTCTGTTTATCATCATGAAATAAAATCTTAAAATCAATATAAAAAATCATCAAGGATGCATTAAACTTATCAAAAGTGACATTGATTATGTTATGATATAATTGTGTTTCTGATTATTGCTGTATTTCTTTTTTTAATTTTCATAAAAACCTATAAAAAAACTTTTCAACATAATAGATTTAATAATTTAATAATAGACAATGTTGCTTAAGCAAACCATTATATTAAGGACAATGAAGGTCGGAGTAATGAATGCTCAATAACCAGCACAGGAATCAATTCATATTAAAATTTGTCATTTACCGTTAATGATATTTGATGATAATAATAATAATGATTTTACTATATTTTAAAGGGTCTTTTCAAAAGCAAATCTTATCAACCTCAAACCTTTCAACTGCAGTGTACTTTATGTAACTTTGCTTTGCAATATACAGCATAATTGAGTTCACCTCAGTTTGGAAATGAATATTTTTCTCCATTTCTCAGTGCATATAGGCAATGTATATTAGTGCATTTAAACAAAACATTCAGTAAGCAGATATATTTATTAAAATAATACTTTAGTCACCAAACATATTTAGAAATTAAAAGATAATACGATTAATTTCAAGCAAAATATTGCACAAAAAATTACAACCAACTAAATATTAATAAAAAAAAAAATCTTCACTTGATTTTTCCTCATTTTTAAATTTGTATTTAACATTTTTTTATAACACATAAATTACCGTTATGGACTGTTATCGTAAGTTATTTTGTTAGAAAAGCTCCATATTTGGCTTCAGTAGTGACTAATCTAATGTATATGCACAAATATAATATTGTATAGCTTCCTATTAAAAATATGAATTTAAAAGATTTGTGAGGGGTGTACTTATATATGCTGAGCACTGTATAAATGCAGTCAAATACTTAATAAATAAACACTGAGAACAGGCTGCTAGGCTGCAATTACTGAAATAAAAGTTGCAGAATTAACTTGTGGAATTATTGTTACAAATTCTAATCACACATAAATAACCAAAGTCCAGTGCAATCTCAAGGCATTTCTTGGCTATTTTACATTTTGTAGGAATATGTGTTGTGAGGGGTGTTCTTATATATGCTGAGCGCTGTATATTAAAATATATCGCAGGTTTTAAATTCACAGTGCAACTTTTATTCATGTATTTTTTATTAGTAAAAACCCTGAATGCTTAAATGATTTATTTATCACAGATTGGTTTCTACTGAGAGCACGGTCCCACGTCGGACACCTCCTATTCATCCAAAGTACGGCACAATGGACAAATACCAGTCATTACCAAAGACCTCACGGCAAAGCCCACCAGCCCCTCATCATCAGCTGCCCAGTGAATACAAATATTCCCATGACCGGCTGAATCACTTCCAGAAGATCCATGGACACACGAAGCGACCCACAACACATGACAACACTGTATGGCAGCTTTTCGAATGGCAGCAGCGACAGCAATTTCGGCACGGCAGCCCCTCTGCCCCTGTGTACACTCCAGCTCCAGACTACTCCACCGCTGTGTCCTCCACCAGAAACAACTCTGATGTTTCCCGCTCTGTTTCTGTGCCTCCCACACTGGCAGACATACCTCCACCCGGACCTCCTGGAGCCCGACTGATGTCTCCGCGGAGACCACACACACCAGCGGAGCGGGTGACAGTCAGACCTCTGGAGGACAGGCCCATCGTGGAGGTGCCACCATCAAACTCTCCACACCGTTTACGATCCTACAAGGTCAGTAATGTTTATTGTTTATTGTTAAATGTTTATCCTTTACAACACACAGGCAATTGTGGTTTGATGTTCAGTGGAGATCAGAATTATGAAACATTTTATGAACTTTAATGTTTAAAGACCCAGATTATAAAAAATACATATAAATATATTTAGATCATTTACTTTAATTATCACTATTGGAATGTGTAGAGACTTTCAACCAGCACAACTAAAAATGTGTCTGAAGACAATCACCTACTGCAGCTTTAACATGTGTTTTCATTCTGTCTTGTGTTTATGTATGTACAGTAAAAAGCCAAACTCTGCTACAGAAAACAAACTTCAAACCATAACTTCACCCTTCACCTCATTTTTTTCATTAAATACTTTGCACACATTGGTTTCAGGTTTTCCCAGTTAGACAATTAATAGAATGACCTGAATAAATAAATTGGTTGCCAGTTTGTTGGATAATTATTGAAATTACCACCAGATTAATATTCATAACTTGGAGGCATCTGAAAGTGTTCTCTGAATTTTATGAGTTGTTTTTCCGATTTAAATTTTTTTTTTACAGTGCGCCTCAGAATATACAGAATTATTAGTCCCCCTGTTATAGTTTTTTTTCCCCCTTAGATTTGTTTAAGGGGGCTAATAATATTAACCTTAAAATTATTTTTAAAAATTAAACAACAGCTTTTATTCCAGCCAAAATAAAACAAATAAAGTTTTCTCCAGAAGAAAAAAATATTATCCTAAATACTATAAACATTTCCTTGCTCCATTTATTATCACTTGAGAAATATTTGGAAAAGAATAAATATTTAACAGGAGAGCTAATACTTTTGCCCACAACTGTATGTAAGATATGGAAGTTGCCCTAAAAGCAAACTGCTCTTTTATTTCTGTTAAGAAAACTTTCAACAGTGAACTTTAGGAACGTGATGGTTGTTCTCTAATTTCGATCTCCAGCATTAAATTGTATGTGTTTACATGTCATACTTCAGTTTGATAAATGTTCTGTAGAGCAGGAAGTAACAAAACACAGTACATGACCTCTTTTTTTATGAATTACATAATACACATTGCGCTATTCAAAAGCAAGCCTGAACGATGTAGCTGAATGATGTAGTCTGAATGATGTAGCTAGAGCCATCTTGATGGATGTTAACACTGCTCAGAAACTCTTGAGCAAATAACACCCGGCCTCAATGTTTGCAAACTGCCAGTATTAGTCCATCTGTTCATAACAGAGTTGTAATTTGGCATTGCATTATCAGTAGTGTCTTTGTAATGGAATGAGTGCCAGACTCACAAAGTGCTCGAGTGGAGGATTTATATTTCCTTCATTTTCTTCAATTACAGTTTCTGTCTGTGCTTATATAAAAAAAAAAGCTTTCAACCAGCAAGCTGAACTTATAATCAAAAGAAGCTCAAGTCTAACCCAAATGAGAAATGAATCCTGAATGATTATTTAATCACACATATTACATTCTAAGTAATCAAATACATGTAGGTATTTTAGTTTTGGTACACTACAGATCATATACCTTAATTACATAGAATACAGATTTGCTCAAATATGTAAAGGAAATGTATTTTTTACAAGAGCACATACTGACAATAAAGTGCTAATAAAAGTGTTTTAATTAACTTTTTTTTGCAAAGCTTAATTTTGCCACCAGCCATTGTGCTGTCAGTTTGTGAACTTTATTGTGAAAAAAATGCATACGCTCTTAAAAACTAGCATGCTGATTTCAGACAGAAGGCAAAAAGGTCACCAATATACATTCAAGGATATTCATTACATGAAAGTGAAATGAAGTAAACAAAACAAATCTGATGTTGAAGCCTATAGGGATAGCAGGGTAAAACTGAACTATTTCCCTGATATCAGCAATAATTGTCAAATAAAGCTTTCTCGATTAAAAACAGCCATCTTGATGAGACCTTATTTTAAAAAATCATACTAAAGATAAATTATGTACCATCATTGTATATTGTACATTGGTATATTATACCAAGTATTGAAGTACTTGGTATAATACAGAATACAGTTGTGCTCCTCATTTTCTTTGTTAGGGTAGGGTTAAGCCTAACTCCTTACAGAGTAAAAGAGCCATTATTTTTATATTTATTTACTTTTACACTATGCTCGGTACATGTACAATATACAGACATGGACAAAATTGTTGGTACCCTTCCATTGAAGAATGAAAAGTGGTCACTGAAATAACTTGAATCTGAATAAGTAACGATTAATCAAGAATTACTAAAAATAAAAGAATGAATATTCATAAAAGATATTACTTTTGAATTGTGGTTCAAGAAAAGCAGTACTAGTGAAACTGGTTTTGAACAACTGAAGGGTAACTACCATTTTGTTCACGTCTGTACATATGTCTAGTTTGTGTACATTTGTTGACTTTCCCACCATACACTGTAAAAAAAAGCAAGGTTCCACACAATTCATTCATGTTGTCCCAACACAAATTGATTAAGTTAGCTTAATAATTTTAACAAATTTATGTGAATTAAACATAAAAAAATTAAGTTGTCCCAATGAAATCTCAAGAATTTTGTTGTTTCAGCTCATTTTAATTAAGTATTTTTAAACGAGCACACAAAAAATATTTTTGAGTGTATTTGATTGTGATAGTTTGGTCTGATTACAGTTTTTCTCAGTGGCTTTGGTGCATTTCTCACGACACAATTTACATTTGCACAACATTTAATGCATTTCTTAAAACAATTAGTCAATTGTGCACATCACAGTAGCAGTTTCTCATACCTTTCAACACATTGCAGATGCTTTTGAACATGCATCAATTGCTTTCATACAACTCTCTGCTGTTTTATAGCATTATCATTTGCTCATGTCATGTCAGTCAAAATTACCTAAACTTGTGAATGCTGAATAGTCATTCCATATAAAACTAGTCTTACATACAAAAATGTTGAACTAGTAGTCAAAATCTGTCAAGCTAATTTGATTTAAAAAAGTAATCTTTTTTCCCTAAAATGTCTCATAAATTGAATTACACTTCATGAATGATTTACAGACCTATTTATGTTGTAGATTCAGTTCCAATATGTACTGCAATATAGTTTACAGTTGTGCACAGCTCTACCCAAAGGAAGTTTATGTTTGTTGTAAATAAGGGTGTATTTATTCTTTTGCACAATGCTGTGAATAAATTAGAACTGCAAATGCAGTAAAAATGTGAAACATACCTATTCAGTGTCCTGTACTCAGATACCTCACTAAATGCAGTGATGTCTAACTTTACTGTAGTTTTCAAATGACTGTGCAAATAGTATACAGTGCTGTCTTGAGCATTTTCCGGAAGTGTCACCAAAATCTGACTTTTTTGCATTGGAAAAATGTAGAGAGTAAACATGTCATAATGAAAACATGACAAAGCCATTTGACTATCTTGTTCATAAACAATGGTGTCAGGACTTTTCATCTTGATGACACTGACACTTTCATTGACATCAATACTTGCTTTTGAGGAATGAGCTATCCATTTGGAGCATGTGACACGCTTTTGCAGGTTGCTGTTTTGCAGTTTGTTTTGAGAACTGCATTAAATGTTGTGCAAATGTAAATAGTGTTGTGAGAAATGCACCAAAGCCACTGAGGAAAAACTGTAAGTTTACACATAGTGTGACAAGAAATCTGCTATGTTGTATAAAACACATCTTTATTCAAGTGCTATATGATTAATTGATTGCTCAACAAATCTTACTTTTAAATAATTTTGTTTAGTAGTTTTGATTTGGTTTCATACAAATATTCGTTCAAATGAAATTTTAGTGCACAAACTTGCAAAAAAAAATTCAGTATTTGTTTTTCAGTATACAGTACAAACAGCTTTCATCCTTTTCCAATTCAGTGCTAATCTGATGCTATTCTGTACTGTATTTAATTGTGTTTATTTTACATTCATTAATTGCATTCCTTTTTATATTTTGTCTTCAGTCAGCCACAATAGAGAGACGCTCAATGCCTCCATCTGCTTACATCACGCATACAGTCAGTGCACCCAGCTTGCATGGAAAAACGGTAATTACTTTTTTTTACTTATTATTTATTTTCCAAGAAAAAAAAACAAGATAAATTCTTTTAAATCAAATGTTGTCTTTTTTGTGCTAAAAAAATGCCACTAAAATGCCAGCAAGTTTGGCATTAAATTCAAACCCACCCACACACACAAGAAGCAACACAACTAAGCTTCACTTCATTTTCCTCTGCTGGTGGAGGCAGTTTTAATTTTTGTTGGTATTTGTGTAAGTAATCTTATCACGGACTCTCTCTCTGCCCTGATTGTACCCTACTGACCTGTGGAGCAGCCGGAGGAGCTCACCCTTCTCCTCATTCAGTTACGGAGACACCAGGCCATGATGGCAGGTGTGCGGCACGATGCTCTGGCACACCTCCAGCAGTTGTCTCGGGTGAAGGTCAGGGCTCAGCCTGCCTAGCTAACGCTTCTCATTGCTAGAGTAGAGGCTCAGTTCTGCCTCTGCTGATGTTATTTACCCTGCCTGGCTCACTGTATATGACAAGCCATTTTAACATTTGTTCTATAAATTGTTACTTGTATTTCATGCTACTAGAACTTAACTTTTTTCGATTGTAGTATGTTTTAAATTAATTATTAGTACTTATTCTATACATACTAGTGTTTATCTTTAGACACTGGAACCTTTTTAAAAGATATGAGTGCTTAGTTATTAGATATGAGCAGGGCCAGACAGAATCTGCGGACATTTGGTATTCATGCACAGGATTTTGTACAAAATCTGCAAATTTATGTGGATTTTTTAGGGGCAAGTATAGTAAGAAAAACATGAAACTTATTAACTTTTAATTTAGGTTTTCAATGCAAATGCAATTATATCCACTTGTTTTATTTTATTCTTTTTATTTTTTATTCTATAGGCAATAAGAACAGTAAGAGGTTAAGGAGAAAATAATTAAAACGATTTATTGCAATACTCATTTTGTTTTACTTTAAAGCCAAGAAAAGTACATTACTTCCTAGTGTATTGTATAAAAAAATTAACACTGAAATCTCACAGCTGCTGGTTGCCCATGTACAAACTGGGGAACACATAAAATCCTACATTTAAAAAAAACAACATACATGTGATGTTAATAAAGATAAATTGGCCATTTCAAATAAACATATTTGTACTTAAAGAGCCCATATTATACATAAAATAGGGTCATATCTTGGTTGTAAGGGTCTCCAACAACAGTTTAATATGCATGCAAGGTCAAAAAACACTTTCATGGTCTTATAATCTGCATTTATTTTTACCTAATTATCCCAGCGACTCCTGTATGAATCGTCCAGTGATACATTTGTTCCCAAACCCCTCCTTAGCGCGAAGCTAATCTGCGCTGATTGGACCGATGACAGTCTGTCGCGATTGGTCGACTGCGTTCAGTGAGAGATTCAGTGAGAGCTAATCAGCAATATAAAAGTAATAACAGTTCATACACACTCGATAGTGTAGGCGTGGATTTTAGCTGCCAGGGGGTCAATGTAAATACAGACTATGGACTTGAAAATACAGATGTCTATCTATTTTATTGAGCAAAAACTCCAAAAACTGTCGAGGAGATCTTGTAGCTTGTCTCACTCTGCTCTTTTCACAGGCACACACACACGCACACACAGACACACACACTACTCCTCCTCCTCCTCCACTGAGCTCCGTAAACAAAGCAGCATGCGTCGCGTTTTAAACGTGGCTTTGCACCCGATATGAGAATAAAGCGAGTTAACCTGATACAGTACACTCGGTTACAAGTAACAAATCACAACTAAATACATTTGCAAGCTAGAGTAAACAAGCAACTTTTGTACTTACACTTGAGAAATGGAGGAAGAAACCCATCTTGACGTCCATCAGTAAGTTACTCTTTACTGATCCTTCCTTTAACAAACGCCGATGAAGTATTCTTTGTAGCATGTAGTTTCCAAAAGTTTCCAGTAGTTTCCAACTGCTTGGCTATAATGCTGAGGTTTCATCTTTGGGTAGAGACTCAATAATATCCATCTGCAGTGTGACTTCAATCGACCGGCATGTTTGTGTGTGTGTGTTTGTGTGTGTGTGTGTGTGTGTGTGTGTGTCTGGGTTTCTATGTCAGAGGGCGGGGCCGCAGGTTTGAAATCTCCTGGGTTTGCGCGTGCACGTGAATAACTTGGTTTCGTTCGTACGTCATGGCGAAACACCTAATGACTCGGTATCAAGGCGACTCATTTAAAGCACTATGAGTCGACTCTTTTATAGATGAATCAACAGTTTTAAACACTGTACAATAACAGATTTAAGCCTTAGCTGGATACTTCACTTCACTTAGAGCTGTGTTACACACTACATGGAAGGGCATTTTCAAAAACCCATAATATGGGCTCTTTAAGTAAACATGAATAAACCATCATAATTATCTCGGTGCTGAAAAAATGTGAGACTGTAGTCCAGGGCTGTATGTGACACTGTAGTTGGCGGCCCGCAGGCTTTGTCCAAATAGTGTAACAAAGACATAAAAATAAATTTAGTTCAGTCGAAAAACGTCCGCTATAGCTGTGAAGTGTTGTGCGTCTGTTCAATTCAGTATGAGCTGCACCATAGTCACCATAAGCGAGTGAACAGCTGAAAACATTTGGATGTGTTTTATAGGCCCCGTTTACACTAGTGCGTTTTAGTTTTAAAACGGCGTTGTAGAATGAAAACGATCCGCGTCCACACTCGCGTTTTACCCAGCGTTTCTGAACAGCTCTCCGTCCACACCAAAACGCTGAAAACGCACATCACGTGACCACACACACACTCTCGGGCAAGCGCTCCAGCATTTCTACCCAGATGAGAGCTCTGCTTGTCGGACTGCTTATCACGCATCTCCCGCTGGATCTAATCTCACTATATTTGCTAAACGTGATATTTCATTCATGTTGTTGTCTTTATCTAACGACATAGGCCAATTCCCTGACGTTGGTCATTGGAATCTATTAAGTTACTTGTTCACAGGTAACATGTTTTGGTTAAGCGCAAAGATAAGTTAATGATTAATCCAGGTACATTGACTGATCGCTTGCCTTTATTTCCTACAATGTATAAACTTATTGTATGTTATACTTTTATAATTATCGATTATTAAAACTGCTATTCAGCAAAAGAGAGGGTGCGTTTCGTATTTTCACTGAAATTGAAAGGAGGCAGGTGTTATCGGCTCCGTTTAGTTATAAATATGCACACAGTGAAGATGACGCTTATATATGCAGCACGGCGCCTCAACATTTCTGCTGTCTGTTAAGTTGCTAATATTAAAAAGAAAATAGGCAGTTCCTTAAATCATGTTTACTTTTTATTGTTGAGAAAGTGAAACAACGTAGCGAAGGTGATGTGAATGAAGTTATAATGTACACTGTTCCCTGTGAAGATTTACCCGTGTCCTCGGTATGTTTTCCATATCAAACTGAGAAGGGGGAGACTGCAGCCTTGATCAAAACTTGCGAAGTCTTAACTTACAAGAAGAGGATGCGAGACTGAACTGTGTGTGGGCTACTTAATATTCAGGAAAAGCCCCAATCAGAGAGGCGAACGTTTGCAGCCCCGCCTCCGTTTTCAGATGTCTCCGTCTTTCCCCATCCACACTGAGACGGAGCAGCAGCGTTTTAAAATGAAAACGGCCTTTCCAGCGTTTTCAAAAAGCTCCGTTTTCGGCGCTCGAGAACTCCGGCGTAGTGTGGACGGATGGCGTAACCGTAGCAAAACTTATGCGTTTTCAAACTAAAACGCACTAGTGTAAACGGGGCCATAGAAAATGCCTTTGGTACAATGCACTGTAATCATTAATAGGGATGCAACAATTTGCTGATTTCACTATTTACTGCGCTTTAATTCGTCACAGTTAATTAATTGTAAAGGCTTCTCTTAGCCGCATTTCTGTTGTACGGAAAAGTTATGACAAGTTGCCAACTGTGCACTAGCTTAAAGTTTGTACACCAAGGCTAATAACCAAGCACACCGGATTAACTATAGCAGTGACTGTTTCCCTATCACATCTTTTCTGCTTGCAAGTTTGTTATTTCTAATGTAAGAATGACAATATGCGTGCACAAGCCGAACAATGCACTTGCCTCTGTCCAGGTGCACGCAGTAGAAAACATCTCACAGTGAGAGTTGTGCGTGCCTTTTAGTGCAATGTCAAGCGCCCCATAACTTTAGAGCATAGTGATTGGATATTTTCTCGCAGGGAGGAGTGTCCTTACCTCAACTCATGGACTTACAGACACACACAGTCAATTTGGGGAGATATAAAACGCACATACATTATTTAAACGCAAAACCAAGAAAACCGCAATTAACAAGCGCATATTGAACCGTGGAAGTCGTACCAAACGGTTCAATATTATATTGAGAACCATGGCATCCCTATTGTGTGTGTGTATATATATATATCAGTTTGGTCAGTTTTCAAAAAAGTAAGTTGGAACAATTGGATATAGCAATCTGAGTCGGACCAGCTTGGAGGTTTGTTGTTAGTTTGGTTTATGTAGCTTGAACGGTTTAGGAGGAGATGTATATAGAAATTAAGGCTGATTTATACTTCTGCTTCAAGCGCACATGTATGCTACGCTGCAGCCTACGCGTGTACGCATAGCCCCTCGCTGTTGCTGCTGGAGATATTGACGCGCACCTCTTAAATAATGTAACATGTACGCGTAGCGCAAACTCTGTGATTGGTCGGCTTGGTAGCACTGACGAGTGTGGGCGGAGGTGAGAGCCGTGCGAGCATGATGCAGTGAATGTTTACTAGAGGTGTGAACCTATACTGGTCTCACGGTTCGGTTCAGTTACCATTATAATGCCATCGATTCGGTTCAATTCGATATCTCGGTGCATCACGGTGCATTGACGATGCTTTCCATACACTGTGTTATATTTTGGGGGGAGGCTATAACAAGCTGTCTGTATAAACACACAGACACACAGCACCACACTGTCTCTCATTCACACATATACACAAACATAGACAGCAACAAACAAACA